ACCTCCAATTACTTATGTGTTGATTCTCTCTCCCTGTCCATGTAGGTGGACGGAGTGAGCTACCTCCTTCAAGAGATCTATGGGATAGAAAACAAATTATAATACACAGGGATTCCAAGGTGAGTACTGAAGCAGAGGTATGCAGGGCAAGTTCACATGATGTTAAAAATACACATGAAACAGATCTCAAGAAGGATTGTTTTCATACGAGAGAATTCACCTTGGAAAAGCTGCTGTGGCAGAAATTTTAAATTTAAAAGGGAGGACCTCTTTAACATTTTTACACAGCAAAAACAGCCTTCCCATTTATTCAAATTCATTAAGGAAATACTTGAACGTCATATTTTCACCTACCTGTTTTGTATTTTGCTTTCCTTTCCTTTCCAGGTGGCAGAAGATGAGGTGAGCGACAATAGTGCAGAATGTGTGGTCTGCCTCTCTGACGTCCGGGACACCTTGATCTTACCTTGCCGCCACCTTTGCCTCTGCAATACCTGCTGACACCTTGCGTTACCAAGCCAACAACTGCCCCATCTGCAGGCTGCGTAAGTCCGCGAGCTTCTTTACATCTTGATGTTTGTCCAAATTAGAGGTAGCCATATCCTGGAAAAATCAGTGGCTTATCCTATTTGATCCTCTGACTTTGGAAAGTTAACATTCATTTTTCATTGTTGACAAATCCTGTTGGATTTTGCATGCAGTATCTTATTTTTAATTATTATCAATTTTTTGTCACCATGGGCAAATTATAGCATATGTTGTTATATTGCACCTGTCTTCTGAGGGAGCTTCCAAGCAGGGGCTTATTATTGCAAAGAGTCATTCAAATATCTCGTATGGGCTGCTGACAACAGGGGTTTCCAAATCAGATTTCACCCAGTAAGGGTAAATCTGGATTAAATTTATGGGATTGCGTTTTGATGTTTGTGGAAGCCACACAAAATTGTGTGCATGAGGAGTTCCTGTCTGACAGTGAGCATCCTTAATATTTGTTGTTGGAAGCTGTTTTTATTCCTCCTACCCTTCATCTCTTGCCCTGCAGCATTTCGGGCTTTGCTACAGATCCGAGCCATGAGAAAAAAGCTGGGACCCCTTTCCCCAACCAACTTCAACCCTATCATCGCCTCCCAGACATCTGACTCAGAGGAGCACTCGGTTAGTATAGGTGTGCTGGTGGTCCCAGTGTTGACACTGCCCTGCTGTCTTTGCTGAGCAGGTCTTGCGGGCTGTGAAATACCGTATTTTTCGCTCTATAAGACGCACCAGACCACAAGACTCACCTAGTTTTTGGAGGAGGAAAACAAGAAAAAATATATTCTGAATCTCAGAAGCCAGAACAGCAAGAGGGATCGCTGTGCAGTGAAAGCAGCAATTCCTCTTGCTGTTCTGGCTTCTGGGATAGCTGCGCAGCCTGCATTCGCTCTATAAGGCACACACACATTTCCCCTTACTTTTTAGGAGGGAAAAAGTGAGTCTTATAGAGCAAAAAATACGGTAGTTTGCTGAAGAGGAGTCAGGCACAGAGAAGGCTTCTTTAAAAACCTTCCCTGTAGTATCGTATCCACAGAGCCTGTTACGGGACTGCTGCACAGCCAGTGGCTTTGGGGGGCCAAGGAAAAGGTGACACTGATGACAAGGGCAACCAGCCTTCCTCAATGATTCAGGTAGCGTGGCAGGAAATTCCATGCAAAATCAAGGGAATCAGCCTTGAGCCAGAAGCCATGGGTTGAAGACAGAAGAGCTAGGGATCTGGAAGCTTTCTTGGCAAATGAGGCCCTTGTGCCTTACAGCAATTTACTCTGCCCCAGCAGCACCCACATAGAGTGAGTTGTTCACCTCCTGCCAGTCTGCATGTTCAGAATTTAGTGCAGATCTGGTATCTATCTAGGGGAGAGCTGGGATTCATTCTAGGTCCACATGCAGAGTAGATTTAAGGTTTCTAGACAATAGTTCTTCAGACTGCAAGTGGAAGGTAATATCAATTTCTCCTCCTTTTTCGCTGGTTTCTTTTTTAAACAGCTTTGCATTTAGAAAACTAGATACTGGGGAGAAGAGCAGAATTCTAGTCTTCTCCCCTCAATACTTTAGTTTTGAGTGCATGTGGACTTCCACCACCACCCAATGGATAAATAATTTTAACAACGTGACTTTTTCCACACGGTGGGCAGTCTGAAGAGATCTGAGCCCAGAACTAATTTACCACACATCTGCAACATCAGGGAACTAGGCTTGAAATGTCAAGCTCAGAACAGAAAAGTGTGCACCATATCCTCTTGACTATGGAAGTTTGTTAGAATAGTAGCAGGTTGTGTGTTGGATGATTCCTGTGTGTTAGTTCCCCCCTCCTTTCCTCTCTCTCTCTGACTTCTGTGCCCTGCACGGCTCCAGCACCAAGGGTGTTCCTCTGCCCATTTTACAGTCACATAGTCACAACTTCTTCCAGCTAAAAGTTTTCAGGCTAAGAAATCCAAGCGATCTGGTCCAGAATAAAGCATGAAAATATCAGCAACTTTATGTGAAATAAGCAAGTCTCCCATTGGTGATCTCAGTCTGTCTGTCTGTCTCTCTTGCTCCTTTTATGTATGAGTCAGATTCCTTTGGAGGAGGGTGGATCTTACTCCTCTGTGCTGAGCTCTCTTGTAAAAAGCTATGTTTGATACAGAGGGAGAGTGTTCTTCTCACACCCATCTCCCCCGTTCCTCTAGTCTTCAGAGAACATCCCTCCGGGCTATGAGGTGGTCTCTCTTCTGGAAGCCCTTAATGGGCCTCTCACTCCATCCCCAGCAGCTCTTCCGCTCCACGTACTTGGGGACAGCCACGTGTCGGGCATGCTGCCCTCATATGGCAGTGATGGCCACCTGCCTCCCGTCCGGACCCTGTCTCCCCTTGACCGCTTGTCGGATTGCGGCAGCCAAGGACTCAAGTTGAAGAAGAGCCTGTCCAAGTAAGTAGCTTGCTGATGTCTCCTGCACTGCAGTGGCTGTTGCCCAAACTGCAATGGCTAAGCTACAATCGCTGGCACCTGTCTGCTGTCTCTTGATGTAGCTGCTGCCTTCCAGTTGTATCTAGCTGCTTGTGGGCGTGTCTTCTGTTGTCAGCTTGTAGCTCTTTAGAACTCTCCCTTGGTTTCTAGTAGAAAGAAGTGGTTTGTTTTCCACCAGGTCAATATCCCAGAATTCCTCAGTACTACATGAAGAAGAGGATGAGAAGACCGGCAGTGAATCTGAAATCAGGATTTCCAGGAGGAAGTCTCCTCGTCCTCATGAAGAGGTGATTGTTTGTTTGAAAGGTCTTGGATTTATATTTAAAAAAACCACCTCTACTTCCTGGGAACAGGAGGGTTAAAGAGTTTTCCTGCCAGAGATCCCAGGAGTTAAACCCGATGTCTTTGTTGCTCATGCTAAGGAAGCGTGCTGGCAGAGCTCTCCTGAACCTGGTTTAGGAAAGAATTTCAGAGGCTTGGAAAAGCCCACCTCAAAGAGGAAGTGAGCTTTGCTAACTCAGGAATTCTTCTCTGGCTCAGATTGAAATCCAAAGCCAGGGAAGAATCACTGGCTTCCCTTGTTGCTAAAGGCTTTGCCAGGCCAGGAGAGATGGAGCAAAGCCTTTCTTGACCAGAGATTGTTGGAGCACTGCCAAGGAACTAGATCACTTCCTGTTTTAAGGGGCTAATTTTTTTGGAACTTTGATTGCCTTGGTAAAATGATCTGAGAGCTTTCTCATTTGTTTTCAGAAGACCTCAACTCTTATGTCCATTAATCTGAAGCAGGTTTGGGGGAGTTTGCCTATCTGTAATGGCAAGGCTAAGCACACAATTTATGGCAGTAGTTCCATCACTGGAAATTATGTTTCCCTCTTAACATCTGATGCATTTTTTTCAGGAATGTGGTGTGACGCCAGAAAGTGAAAACCTTACCTTATCCTCCTCAGGAGCAATAGACCAGTCTTCATGTACAGGGACACCTCTCTCTTCTACCATCTCTTCTCCAGAAGGTATAGAAGGAAAGCTGACTTGCTTTGATTCTGGGGGCACATCTTCAAAAGACCCCTCAGCAAGCATATTAGTGCTTTTCCTCAATCCCACACTTCTTCCCCTATACCACCTTTTTGTACGGCTTGGCAGAGGACATAGGCTGAACACCAGTGCACAGGGATAGACCACAAGATGCACAATCTTGGCTTTAAAATAATAAAAAAAAAGGTTTTGCAGATGTTCTACCTTTTGGCCTCCTTGCTTTTATGGATATCGTGTTGATTAACTAATGGGTTGATTAACCCATGCTGCTGCTATACAGTTGGAAAGCAGGCAGATCAGTGAGTAGCTTTATCGTAGGATTTGCCAGAAAAATGCAACCTGTTCTGTTGATAGAAGTAGTACGACTCATGCAACACGTTGGCGACTAATATACACACAGTAATTACCAAATGATTATACATTCTTTATCAATCTTCTGAGAAAAATGCAACCTTATGCAAAGCCACAGAGACTTGCGGACTACCCAACCTTATAATGTTTGATTTCTGTTATAATGTATCTGTGGCTTTGAATAAGGTTTTGTATTTTTCTCAGAAGATTGATAAAGAATGTATAATCATTTTGGTAATTATTGTGTGTATATTAGTCGCCAACGTGTTGCATGAGTCGTACTACTTCTATCAACAGAACAGGTTGCATTTTTCTGGCAAATCCTACGATAAAGCTACTCACTGATCTGCCTGCTTTCCAACTGTATAGCAGCAGCATGGGTTAATCAACCCATTAGTTAATCAACACGATATCCATAAAAGCAAGGAGGCCAAAAGGTAGAACATCTGCAAAACCTTTTTTTTATTATTTTTAAAGCCAAGATTGTGCATCTTGTGGTCTATCCCTGTGCACTGGTGTTCAGCCTATGTCCTCTGCCAAGCCGTACAAAAAGGTGGTATAGGGGAAGAAGTGTGGGATTGAGGAAAGCACTAATATGCTTGCTGAGGGGTCTTTTGAAGATGTGCCCCCAGAATCAAAGCAAGTCAGCTTTCCTTCTATACCTTCTGGAGAAGAGATGGTTAGAAGAGAGAGGTGTCCCTGTACATGAAGACTGGTCTATTGCTCCTGAGGAGGATAAGGTAAGGTTTTCACTTTCTGGCGTCACACCACATTCCTGAAAAAATGCATCAGATGTTAAGAGGGAAACATAATTTCCAGTGATGGAACTACTGCCATAAATTGTGTGCTTAGCCTTGCCATTACAGATAGGCAAACCCCCAAACCTGCTTCAGATTAATGGACATAAGAGTTGAGGTCTTCTGAAAACAAATGAAGAAAGCTCTCAGATCATTTTACCAAGGCAATCAAAGTTCCAAAAAAATTAGCCCCTTAAAACAGGAAGTGATCTAGTTCCTTGGCAGTGCTCCAACAATCTCTGGTCAAGAAAGGCTTTGCTCCATCTCTCCTGGCCTGGCAAAGCCTTTAGCAACAAGGGAAGCCAGTGATTCTTCCCTGGCTTTGGATTTCAATCTGAGCCAGAGAAGAATTCCTGAGTTAGCAAAGCTCACTTCCTCTTTGAGGTGGGCTTTTCCAAGCCTCTGAAATTCTTTCCTAAACCAGGTTCAGGAGAGCTCTGCCAGCACGCTTCCTTAGCATGAGCAACAAAGACATCGGGTTTAACTCCTGGGATCTCTGGCAGGAAAACTCTTTAACCCTCCTGTTCCCAGGAAGTAGAGGTGGTTTTTTTTAAATATAAATCCAAGACCTTTCAAACAAACAATCACCTCTTCATGAGGACGAGGAGACTTCCTCCTGGAAATCCTGATTTCAGATTCACTGCCGGTCTTCTCATCCTCTTCTTCATGTAGTACTGAGGAATTCTGGGATATTGACCTGGTGGAAAACAAACCACTTCTTTCTACTAGAAACCAAGGGAGAGTTCTAAAGAGCTACAAGCTGACAACAGAAGACACGCCCACAAGCAGCTAGATACAACTGGAAGGCAGCAGCTACATCAAGAGACAGCAGACAGGTGCCAGCGATTGTAGCTTAGCCATTGCAGTTTGGGGAACAGCCACTGCAGTGCAGGAGACATCAGCAAGCTACTTACTTGGACAGGCTCTTCTTCAACTTGAGTCCTTGGCTGCCGCAATCCGACAAGCGGTCAAGGGGAGACAGGGTCCGGACGGGAGGCAGGTGGCCATCACTGCCATATGAGGGCAGCATGCCCGACACGTGGCTGTCCCCAAGTACGTGGAGCGGAAGAGCTGCTGGGGATGGAGTGAGAGGCCCATTAAGGGCTTCCAGAAGAGAGACCACCTCATAGCCCGGAGGGATGTTCTCTGAAGACTAGAGGAACGGGGAGATGGGTGTGAGAAGAACACTCTCCCTCTGTATCAAACATAGCTTTTTACAAGAGAGCTCAGCACAGAGGAGTAAGATCCACCCTCCTCCAAAGGAATCTGACTCATACATAAAAGGAGCAAGAGAGACAGACAGACAGACTGAGATCACCAATGGGAGACTTGCTTATTTCACATAAAGTTGCTGATATTTTCATGCTTTATTCTGGACCAGATCGCTTGGATTTCTTAGCCTGAAAACTTTTAGCTGGAAGAAGTTGTGACTATGTGACTGTAAAATGGGCAGAGGAACACCCTTGGGTGCTGGAGCCGTGCAGGGCACAGAAGTCAGAGAGAGAGAGGAAAGGAGGGGGAACTAACACACAGGAATCATCCAACACACAACCTGCTACTATTCTAACAAACTTCCATAGTCAAGAGGATATGGTGCACACTTTTCTGTTCTGAGCTTGACATTTCAAGCCTAGTTCCCTGATGTTGCAGATGTGGTGGTAAATTAGTTCTGGGCTCAGATCTCTTCAGACTGCCCACCGTGTGGAAAAAGTCACGTTGTTAAAATTATTTATCCATTGGGTGCTGGTGGAAGTCCACATGCACTCAAAACGAAAGTATTGAGGGGAGAAGACTAGAATTTTGCTCTTCTCCCCAGTATCTAGTTTTCTAAATGCAAAGCTGTTTAAAAAAGAAACCAGCGAAAAAGGAGGAGAAATTGATATTATTACCTTCCACTTGCAGTCTGAAGAACTATTGTCTAGAAACCTTAAATCTACTCTGCATGTGGACCTAGAATGAATCCCAGCTCTCCCCTAGATAGATACCAGATCTGCACTAAATTCTGGACATGCAGACTGGCAGGAGGTGAACAACTCACTCTATGTGGGTGCTGCTGGGGCAGAGTAAATTGCTGTAAGGCACAAGGGCCTCATTTGCCAAGTAAGCTTCCAGATCCCTAGCTCCTCTGTCTTCAACCCATGGCTTCTGGCTCAAGGCTGATTTGCTTGATTTTGCATGGAATTTCCTGCCACGCTACCTGAATCATTGAGGAAGGCTAGTTGCCCTTGTCATCAGTGTCACCTTTTCCTTGGCCCCCCAAAGCCACTGGCTGTGCAGCAGTCCCGTAACAGGCTCTGTGGATACGATACTACAGGGAAGGTTTTTAAAGAAGCCTTCTCTGTGCCTGACTCCTCTTCAGCAAACTACCGTATTTTTGCTCTATAAGACTCACTTTTTCCCTCCTAAAAAGTAAGGGGAAATGTGTGTGCGCCTTATGGAGCGAATGCAGGTCTGCACAGCTATCCCAGAAGCCAGAACAGCAAGAG